TTCAATAATTTGCCCAGTGAATCTTTCAATAACGAAAGTCGAGGCTTGAATTTTTTCTTCTGTGGTCTTCCTTATTTATTGTTCAACTTTCACATGTATATGATGTGATTGAAAATACCAAGGATTGAGTTAGGCACACCTTAGTTCTCAAATTGATATATTTCTCTTTAACACTTAAAAGAGATCCTTTGCAGAAGATTTAACTAATGCAGTACATCATTTGATTTCATGATTGTAGCTTCCATGAGCACCAATTGTGGATCCAAGCAAATTGAGGTCTTTCACAATGTCAGTGTTTTCTCCATTTATCATGATATTATTTATTGATCCAGTTGTGAGGATCTTTGATTATTTACATCAAGGTACAATCCACACTGAAAGCCATAGTCTTTTATCTTCATCAGTAAATATTTTAAGTTCTCTTCGCTTTCAGCAAGCAAGATTATATCATCTGCATATCTCAGGTTGTTAATGACTTTTCCTCCAATCTTGTGACCATGTTCTTCTTTATATACTCTAGCTTCTCAGATTATTTCCTCAGCATACAGATTGAGTAAGTATGGTAAATGATACAATACTGGCACACATCCTTCCTGATTTTAAAGAATTCAGTATACCCTTGTTCTGTTCTAACAACTGCTTTCTTTTGTCTATGTCAGGTTCTTCATGAGCATAATAAGGTGTATTGGAACACTTATTCATTGCAGTGTTATTCATAGTTTGTCATGGTCTACACAGTCAAATGCCTTTGCATAGTCAATAAAGCACTTTTATTTTTTTTTATTTTATCCTTTCAGCTAAAATTCATCTGACATCAATAAAATTCCTGGATTCTTATGAATTCAGCTTGAATTGATGCCCATTCTCTGTTAATGTACTGTTGCAATCACTTTTAAATTATCTTCAGAGAAATCTTACATGCATGTGACATCAATGGTATTGTTTAATGATTTCCGTATTCCATTAAGTCACTTCTCTTATAGGCACAAATATGGGCCTCTTCCAATCAGTTGGACAGGTAACTGTCTTCTAAATTTCTTGGCATTCACAAGAAAGCCTCTATTGCTGAATCAGTCTGTTGAGAGATTTCAATTTGTATTCCATAAATTCCTGGAACTTTGTTTTTTGCCAATACCACAGTGCAACTTAGACTTCTTCCATCAGTATCATTGGTTTTTCATCATATGATACCTCTTAAAGTGGCTGAATATCAACCATTTGTTTTTGGTATAGTGACTCTGTGCATTCTTTTTATATTCTTTTGATACTTTTTATAAATCATTCAATATTTTGCCCATAGAACCCTTCAATAGTGCAACCCAAGGCTTGACTTTTTCTTCAATTCTTTCATCTTCAGAAGTGCTGAGCTTGACCGTGCCTTTTGGTTTTCTAACTTCTTTGCACATTTTTTGTGTTGTTGTTGTTAAGTGCTGTTGAGTCAATTCTGACCCTATATACGGTTTCCCAGGAGCAGCTGGTGAACTTGAACCCTGACCTTGTGGTTCAAACCGACTTTGCAGTACAGCGCATTAACTCACAGTGCCACACCAGGACTCCACACATTTGTTATAGTGTATATATAATTTGACTTTGTCTTCTTGAGATAGCCTTTCAAATTTTCTGGTCAGCTATTTTACTACCTAATTCCTTCCATTCGCTTTACCTTCTCTATAATCAAAAACAAGTTTCAGAGTCTCTTCTGACACCCGTTGTTGTCTTTCCTGTCTCTTTAATGACATTTTATTTTCTTCCTGTATGATATTCTTGATATTATGCTACAATTCTCCTGGTCTTTGGTCATTAGTGTCTAATGCATTAAATTTGTTCTTCAAATAGTCTCTAAATTTGGGTGGGAAATATTCAAGGTCAATATTCGGCTCTTAAGAACTTGTTTTAACTTTCTTCAACTTCAGCCTGAACTTGCATATATGAATAATCCATGATCTTTTCTTCAGTCTTCCCCTGGCCTTGCTTTGGTTGATGATATTGAACTTTTCCACTGACTCTTCCCATGGATGTAGTCAATTTGATTACTGAGTATTTCATCTGGTGGGGCTGACATGTATAAAAAAAAGTCACCTTTTATGTTGTTTAAGTAAGGTATTTGCAATGAATAAGTCATTGGTCTTACAAAATTCTATCATGCAATCTACAGTATCATTTCTATCACTAAGTCCATATTTTCTAACTACTCAGTCACCTCTCTTTGGAATGGGTAAAAATATGGATCTCTTCCAATCAGTCGGCCAGGTAGTTGTCTTCCAAATATCTTCGCATATATGAGTGAGTGCCTCCTGTGCCGCCTCACTTTCTTGTAAGATTTCTATTTTTATTCCATCAATTCCTGGTGCCTTGTTTTTTGCCAATTCCTTCAATGCACCTTGGACTTCTTTCTTCAGGATCATTGTCTCTTGATCATATGCTACTTCTTAAAATGATTGAACATTAACCATTTCCTTTTGGTACAGTGACTCTGTGTATTCCTTCCATCTTTTCTTGATGCCCTCTGCATCACTCAATAATTTGCCCAGAGAATCTTTCAATAATAAAAGTCAAGGCTTGACTCTTTTCTTTAGTTCCCGCAGCTTGAGAAATACTGAGTGTGTTCTTCCTTTTTGGTTTTCTGACTCCAGATCTTTGCACATTTTGTTGTAACATTTGGCTTTATCTTCTTGAGCTGGTCTTTGAAATTTTTTGTTCAGCTCTTGGACCTCCTCAATTCTTCCATTTGCTTTAGCATCTCTACACTGGAGAGCAAGTTTTAGTGTCTCTTCTGACATCCATTTTGATCTTTTGCTTCTTTCTTGTCTTCTTAATGACTTTTTGCTCTCTTCACATATGATGTTCTTCATGTCATCCCACAACTCTTCTGGTCTTCGGTCTTTAGTGTTTAATGTATCAAATCTGTTCTTCAGATGATCTCTAAATTCAGGTGGGATATATTCAAGGTCATATTTTGGCTCTCATGGACTTGTTTTCATTTTCTTCAGCTTCAGTGTGAATTTGCATGTGAGTAATTGATGGCCTGTTCCACAATCTGCCCCATGCAATAACCTTGTATGCATGTGAAAGCAGGACAGTGAATAAGGAATACCATAAAAGAACTGATGCTTTTGAGTTATGGTGGTGGAGAGGAATATTGAAAGTGCCATGGTCTGCCCAAAGAACCAATAGTTCCGTTTTGGAAGAAGTGCAGGCAGAGTGCTCCTTGGAAGCCAGGATGGCCAAACTTCGTCTCTCATACTTCAGACATATTGTCAGGAGGGACCAGTCTCTGTAGAAGGATATCATGTTTGGTAAGGTGAAGGGTCAGAGAAAATGAGGAAGACCCCCAACGAGATGGATTGGCCAAGTGGCAGCATCAATTAACTCAGGTGTGGCAACAGTAGTGAGGTTGGTCCAGGATCAGGCAGTGTTTTGTTCTGCTGTGCTTAAGGTCGCTATGAGTTGGCACCTAACAACAACAACAACAACCTGTTGTACTAATGCTTTGTTTTGTTACTTTTTTATTGACACCGTGTATGTTAGGGAAAATGTATCAATAATCATGATTAATGGCTCCTTTTAAAATCTTCTAATTTGGATAACAGGTTGTTAAGTAGGCATTGTTAACAGTTTTGCTTTAGCCTTATCCTGTTACCTGAACAGTAATAGTTAGATTTTGCTCCTCATCTACCTTCTTGCACAGTTCCCTCTACCTTTCATTAAGAAGGTATTAGGAGAGCTAGTGACTTTTACACCAGTCCCATGATAGCATTTGCTTTCTGGTTCCCTCACAAGAGCATCAATTCATTACCAAAAAGTGACCAAATCTCAAAGGAGGGCCACATCAAAATTGTTAGTGTTTTGATGGCTAATATTAGGTTGAACATTTCTTAAGAATCAACACAATTATGTTAGGCATTCATATTGGATAATGATAACCAATTCAAGAGTTAGTTGAATATATTCTGTACTGTCAAGTTACCAGTTTTCTGTTTGGTACAATGTTCTTGTCTTTAAATACAGATTTTAGCCACAGGAATCTGTCACACAGATGACCACATAATCAAAGGAGCAATGGTGTCTACATTTCCAGTAATTGTGGGACATGAAGCAACTGACGTTGTGGAGAGCTTTGGTATGTGGATGTCAGTTAAATCACAAGTTTGAAACAAGTCAGGTTTTGATTATCCTTAAAGGAAAAGCACATACTAGGAAATCTTAAAGTTAACTTTTTGTTGTTAAGTGCTGTCAAGTTGATTCCAAATGATAGCGATCCTGTATAGGGTTTCCCAGGAGCAGCAGGTGAGCTTGAACCACCGACCTTGTAGTTCAAAAGACTTTGCAGCCTGATGCATTAATCCACATAAAGTTAATGTTGTTGTTGTTGTTGTTGTTAGGTGCCATCAAGTAGGTAATGACCCATAGCAATATTATGCACATCAGAACAAAACACTGCCCAATCCTGTGCCAACTTTACTACTGTTGCCACGCTTGAGTCCATTGATGCTGCCACTTGGCCAATCCATCTCAATAGGGATCTTCCTCTTTTAATCTGACCCTCCACCTTACCAAACATGATATCCTTCTCCAGCGACTGGTCCCTCCTGACAATATGTCCAAAGTATGAGAGACGAAGCTTAGCCATCCTGGCCTCCAAGGAGCACTCTGCAATTCTTCCAAAATGGATCTATTGATTCCTTTGGCAGCCCATGGCACTTTCAATATTCTCCTTTAACACCATAACTCAAAAGCATCAATTCTTTTATGGTATTTCCTTATTCACTGTCCAGTTTCACATGCATATGAGGTTATTGAAAATACCATGGCTTGGGTCAGGCACACCTTAGTCCTCAAGGTAACATCTTTGCTCTTCAACACTTTAAAAAGGTCTTGTGCTGAAGTCTTTTGATTTCTTGATTGCTGCTTCTGTGAGTGTTGATAGTTGATCCGAGAAGAATGAAGTCCTTGACAACTTCAATCTTTTCTCTATTGATAAGAATGTTGTTTATTGGTCCAGTGGTGAGGAGTTTTGTTTTTTTGACATTGAGATGTAAACCATACTGAAGGCTATGGTCTTTGATCTTCGTCAGTAAATGTTTTAAGTCCTCATCACTTTCAGCAAGCAAGGTTGTATCATCTGCATATCACAGGTTGTTAATGAGTCTTCCTCCAATCCTGATGCCACATTTTTCTTCATAGAACCCAGCTTCTCAGATTATTTGCTCAGCATAAAGGTTAAATAAATACGGTGAAATAATACAGCCTTGTCGCACACCTTTTTTAATTTTAAACCATTCAGTGTTCCCATATTCTGTTCAAACAACTGCCTCTTGATCCATGTACAGATGCCTCATGAGCACAATTAAGTGTTTATGAATACTCATACTTCGCAAAGTTGTCCATAGCTTGTCATGAGCCACACAATCGAAAGCCTTCGCGTAGTCAATAAAGCACAGGTAAACATCTTTCTCATATTCTCTGCTTTCAGCCAAGATCCATTGGACATCAGCAATGATATCTCTCATTCCAAGGCTTCTTCTGAATCTGGCTTGAACCTCTGGAAGTTCTCTGTCAGTGTATGATTGTAGCCGTTTCTGTATTACCTTTAGTAAAACTTTACTAGTATGAGATATTAAAGAGATTGTCCAATGATTTCAACATTATATTGGGTCACCTCTCTTTGGAATAGGCACAAATATGGATCTCTTCCAATCAGTAGGCCAGATAGATGTCTTCCAAATTTCTTGGCAGAGATGAGTGAGTGCCTTCTGTGCCACCTCACTTTCTTGACAGATTTCTATTTTTATTCCATCAATTCCTGGTGCCTTTGCCAATTCCTTCAATGCATCTTGGACTACCTCCTTCAGTATCACTGGCTCTTGATCATATGCTAATTCCTGAAATGGTTGAATATTAACCATTTCCTTTTGGTACAGTGAATCTGTGTATTCCTTCTATCTTCTCTTGATGCTTTCTGCATCATTCAATAATTTACCCAGAGAATCTTTCAATAATTAAAGTTGAGGCTTGAATCTTTTCTTCAGTGCCCCAAGCTTGAAAAATGCTTAGTGTGTTCTTCCTTTTTGGTTTTCTGATTCCAGATGTTTGCACATTTTCTTGTAATAGTTGGCTTTATCATCTTGAGCTGATCTTTGAAATTTTCTGTTCAGCTCTTGGACTTCCTCATTTCTTCCATTTGCTTTAGATTTCTACATGGGAGAGCAAGTTTCAGTATCTCTTCTGACATTCCATTTTGACCTTTTCCTTCTTTCTTGTCTTCTCAATGACTTTTTGCTTTCTTCATGTATGATATTCTTTATGTCATCCCACAGTTCTTTTGGTCTTCGATTTTTACTGTTTAATGTATCAAATCTGTTCTTCAGATGATCTCTGAATTCAGGTGGAATATATTCAAGGTCATATTTTGGCTCTCGTGGACTTGTTTTCATGTTCTTCAGCTTCAGTTTGAATTTGCATGTGAGTGATGGTCTGTTCCACAGTCTGCCCCTGGCCTTGTTTTCATTGATGATGTAGAGCTTTTCTATCATCTCTTTCCACAGATGTAGTCAATTTGATTTCTATGTATTCCATCTGGTGAGGTCCAGGTGTATAGTCGTCTGGGTCCAAGTGTATAGTCGTCCAGGTGTATGTTGTTTAAAGAAAGTATTTGGAATGAACAAATCATTGGTTTTGCAGAATTTTATCATGCATTCTCCAGCATCATTTCTATCACTCAGGCCATATTTTCCAACTACTGATCCTTCCTCTTTGCTCCCAACCTTTGCATTCCAATCTCCAGTAATGATCAATACATCTTGATTCCACGTTTGATCAAATTTAGATTGAAGAAGTTCGTAGAATTCTTCTATTTCATCCTCACTGGCTTTAGTGGTTGGTGTGTAAATTTGAATAATAGTGGAATTAACTGGGCTTCCCTGTAGGCACATGGATATTATCCTATCACAGACAGCATTGTACCTCATGACTGATCTGGATATGTTCTTTTTGACAATGAATGCAACACCATTCTTCCTCAATTTGTCATTTCCGGCTTAGTAAACCATGTGGTGATCAGATTCAACATGGCCAATACCAGTCCATTTCAGCTCACTAATGCCTAAGATGTCGATGTTTATTCATTCCATTTCATTTTTTACAACTTCCAATTTCCCCAGATTCATACTTTGTACATTCCATGTTCCAGTTTTCAATGGTTGTTTACAGGTGTTTCTCTTCATTTTGAGTTGTGCCCCATCAGCAAATTAAGGTCCTGCAGGCTTTTCTTCAAAGGGCTTTACTCCATTCACATCATCATGTTCAACTCTACTTTGATGAGCACCTCTTCCCCAGTCGCATTTTGAGTGCCTTCCAATCTGAGGGGCTCATCTTCTGTCACTATATCTGTTTCTCTGCTATTCATAAGGTTTTCAATGACTAAATATTCGGAAGTAGCTTGTCACTCCTTCCTAGTCTGTCTGCATCTGAAAGCTCATCTGAAACCTGTCCACCGTGGGTGACACTGCTGGTATTTAAAATACCAGTGGCATAGCTTTCAGAATCATAGCAACTAACAAGCCACCACTGTATGAGAAAGTGACAGACATGTGGTGGACAGAAATATTAGAGAGTCTTAAAACAATTTACCAGTTGCCACTGAGTCAACTCCAACTCATGGCAACCCCTTGTGTTTCAGGTTAGAACCACGCTCCACAATTTAAGGGGTTATAAGGGTATATGGGACTTCTGGTGTGATACTCTGGATCAGCACTGGACTGTGAATCACAAAGTTATCAGTTCAAACCTACCAGCTGCTCCTCGGAAACCTATACAGGGTTGTTATGAGTCAGAACCTACTTAATGGCACTTAACAACAACAAGAGTACAAGGAGAATGCATTGTAAAGACTGAAGTTTAATTTGGCATGGTCCTATCCATTAGCACACAAACTTTATGATGTTTACAAACTTCACAGTAATTTTAAGAACTTCTTGTGAGTAGTATGACTTCAATTGACATTTGTTTATTTCATGTATTAATGTTAATGATGGCCATTTTAAACCATGATATTTTTTTCTCTAAGTGACAAAATCACCCCTCTCTTTTTACTGCAGTGTAGCGAATCCAATGCTTGTGGCAACCCAGATGGTAACCTTTGCATTAGGAATGAGTATGTTTCTGTTATTTTTACTCTGATGTCATTTCAATGGTTCCTTTGTCAATTTCTGAATTGAATTAGCTAATGTATGCTTTTAATGCATCAAATAGTGTTACTAGTCATGGAGTATTGGCTGATGCCATTACTAGATTTACATACAAGGGCAAACCCGTGTATCACTTCATGAACACAAGTACATTTACTGAGTGCACAGTGGGGGATGGATCCTGTGTCGCCAAGACTGATGATGCAGTGCCCCTGAGAAACTGTCTAACTGGCTATTGATTTTCTACTGGATACAGGGCTGACTTGAAAACTGGCAAGGTATGGAGGCAGGGAGTGCTAGTTTCATTCATTAAAAATAGTTTCCTTGGAAGTCTTAAAATGTTGGAAAAAAACAAAAACTTTTGAAAATATATCACATATTCAAACTGTTTCTACCTAATGCCAAATCAATCAAAAGAAAAAGGAAAAATTCAGATTTGAAATTTTGTTGCTACTTATTTAGGTTGATCTAGATTTGTTTTTTATTTCCTTAAGACTTAATTTGTAAAATTGAGCAATTTACATTTTTTTTTCACAAAATGAATATTAATTTTGGAATATAACATGAAAGCTTGAATATGTTTTAAGGAGTTTTTATTTGGACTGGATTTATATTACCTCTATTGCATCACTCAACTGTCAGTTTGTCATACTGTGGTGGCTTGTGAGCCAGAGTGCTCCTTGAAGGCCAAGATGGCCAAACTTCGTCTCTCATACTTTGGACATATTGTCAGGAGGGACCAGTCACTGGAGAAGGGTATCATGTTTGGTAAAGTGGAGGGTCAGAGAAAAAGAGGAAGACCCCCAATGAGATGGATTGGCCAGGTGGTGGCATCAATAGACTCAAGCGTGACAACAGTAGTGAGGTTGGCCCAGGATTGGGCAGTGTTTCGTTCTGCTGTGCATAGGGTCGCTGTGAGTCAGTGCCAACTTGATGGTACCTAACAAC